TCCCGGTCGCCTCGCGGCCTCCGCGCGCCGCCCCGCTCCGCCAGGCCCGCGCTTGTTGACCGCTCAGCGATGGCAGCTGAGCGCCCGGCAATCCTGGGGGACGACTTCCTGGCCCCGCCCTTGCCAACTGGCCCCGCCCTCCGCGTTGCCCTCTCTCCGGCCCCGCCCAATCCGCCAAGTCCTCCTTCAGGCCCCACCCACTTAGCCAGGGCCCCGCCTCGCTCATCTGAATTCACTCTGCCGCCGCCAAGGCCCCGCCTTCGTCAGACCCTCTTTCTGCCCCTCCCAGTGCCTTGCGCCAGTTTCCCCCGGAAGGCGGAGCTGAAAACCCGGCAAAGAAGGATGAGGAAACTAGAGCGAGCACAGTGCGCTTGCGCGCGGAGGGGCCGGAAGCCGGAGCGGCAGTGACTCTACTTCCGCTTTGGGATTTTTCTCCAGTGTTTGGGTTTCTTGTCGGCTGCTCAAGATGAACCGATTCTTCGGGAAAGCGAAACCCAAGGCTCCGCCACCCAGCCTGACTGACTGCATTGGCACGGTGGGCACCTGACCATGAATAACTAGCCTCAACGCTTCCATGCTCCTGACCCCGCCCATCCCCTGGCCCCGGCTCCCACTCTTTCACTCCAGTCCTACTTCCCAGCTCTTTAAAACCTCGGCCTTCTCCATCTCCTCACTTCATCCCTGTTTTCTAAGTCATTCCTGACGCCACAAACCAGGGATCCCCCTCCTAGCCTCATCACTGCTTCGCACCCCACCCACACTGATGCTCTGTGCCCAGGCTACTCCTTCTCAGCCTCGCCTCCTCCAGCCTACCCCAGGCCTAGACGCTCTCCCTAATTCATCTAGTCCGACATTTTCTTCTTACCCTTTTTTTCATCTCTCACCCATTGCCCATGTCAGGGCTCTTTCTGTGATATACTGGGTTAATGCATGTGTACTTTTTTTTCGATCTGAATCTCCAAAACAATTCAGCACCCACCCCCCCCCCTTCCAACTAGGGAATGGCATTTGAAATAGTCTTAGCCTAGCTGGGCGGTGGTGGCTCACGCCTATAATCCCAGCTACTCAGGAGGCTGAGATCAGAGGATCATGTTCCGAGCCAGCCAGGGAAGCCAGCCGTGAGACTCTTGTTTCCAATGAGACTCTTGTTTCCAGTGAACCACCAGAAAACCGAAAGTAGCTCAAGTTGTAGAATGCTAGCCTTGAGCAAAAGAGCTCAGGGACAGGCCTAGGCCCTTAGTTCAAACCCCACTATTGACGCACAGAAAAAAATCTTAGCCTATGTCTTCACTAGACACAGGCTTATTTCCTATGCCTCTTTGTTGAATCGACGGTCTGACTCATCACCAAGGGAAATCTCAATCCAGTGATTCTCAAATTGTTTTTCTACCCCAACACTTGAGGGGGGACTTTGGGTATCAGAAACCTGGAGATGGAATGTGGTTTACAAAAAGTGTTTCTGACTGGAAATCTAC